TGGGAAATAGAGGGAAGAGTGAAAGGGCTCTGGGAAATAGAGGGAAGAGTGAAAGATGGGGGGATAGGAGGTTCAGGGAGATTGATTGATTGATTGGGGGAGACGGGTAGGTGCTCCGCACGAAGTGCGGACCAGGTGAGCTCCCTCCCCGCTTTTTTTTTTTTTTTTGTCGGACATCTTGTCCCTGCCAACACAGTCCGGACAGTCCAGTGTCCGGTGTTGTCCGGTGTCCGGTGATGTCCGGAACACCGGACAGTCCGGACTGGTTCAGACACAGGTCCGAAAACACAGTCCGGAAGTGTCCGATGTCCGGGTCCGTGGTTACCATGCTCTAAAGAATCATCATTCACAAAGATGGGATAATTAATTATTTGTTGTAATTTGCTTGGAATATCTGAATCTATCAAACACACAATCGGTATATGTAATTGACACATGAAATTGCATTCATTAAGTCTAGTTTTTACTCTTATATGTGGTATTTATTCTTGTTTGACTCTTGGACTGGTATTTACAAACTCTCGAAAAACTAGTTTCTTTTTTTTCACCACATTGCTTACTGTATAAACTTCGATTTTTTTTTGTACTTCATGTCAAAGTTAATCAAACTGAAATTCCTTTGAATACATGAATCTATCAAACACACAATTGGTATGTGTAATTGATTAGCTTCAAGTATGGCCATGAAATTCTGATTTGCATTCATTAAGCCTATTTTTTACTCTTATATGTGGTATTTATTCTTGTTTGTCTCTTGGACTGAGATCTACAAACTTTCGAAAAACTAGTTTCTTCTTTTTTACCTAGGTTACCAATCGTCCAATGACCGGATGTCTCGGTCTGACTTCTCCCCCAACCGTCCGGTAGGGGAGTTGTCCGGGATCCCGGACAAGTGGTTTTTGGCATTAATTTTTTTTTTTTTAAATTAAAAAAAATGGGATGTTCTTGCGCAAGACTAGGAGATCCCCCCAAAAAAATTTGGGGTGATTCGGAGCATTTATGGAAAAAAAAATGTTTTTGGCATTATGCCACTTTTGGGGGGATCTCCCACTGATGCAAGGAAAATGAATGTGGATGAAGATCAGAAATCCAAACTGCAAATCACACTGAAGTCCATGTTGGTTGATTGATTGATTGATCCCGGACAAGTGGTTTTTGGCATTAAAAAAAAAAAAAAAAAAAAAAAAAAAGGATGTTCTTGCGCAAGACTATGATTCGGAACATTTATGGAAAAAAAATGTTTTTGGCATTATGCCACTTTTTGGGGGATCTCCCACTGATGCAAGGAACATGAATGTGGATGAAGATCAGAAATCCAAACTGCAAATCACACTGAAGTCCATGTTGGTTGGTTGATTGATTGATTGATTGATTGATTGATTGATTGATTGATTGATTGGTTTGATTGGTTGATTGATTGATTGATTGATTGATTGATTGGTTGGTTGATTGATTGATTGATTGATTGATTGATTGATTGATTGATTGATTGGTAGATTGATTGATTGCGCTATGGCGGGTGTGAAGTCCGCGGGCTTGCGAAGTGGCGGGCGGGACGCAAGGGGGAACTTACGAGACTGGGGCAAAGGCGGGAGGGACACAGGCGGGCAAAACGGGTCGGGGGAGGGAGGGGGAGCTTGCGGGAGCCGTGGGGAGTGGGCGTACACAGGTCACGGGAGGATGGTTCCGACGTGGAGGACGATGAGTCGGAGATGGCGGAATAGGAGGTCGGCGAGATGGAGGACGAGGAGGAGGGGSACGAGGAGGAGGAGGAAAAGGAGACGATGGAGGAAGAGGAGGACGACGAGGAGTAGACGACGGAGGTGGAGTCGGAGGAGGAGTTGGAGGAGGAGGACGAGGCGATTAAGAAGAAGAAGAAGAAGACGAAGAAGAGGAGGAGGAGGAGGAAAATGAGACGATGGAGGACAAGACGAGGCGGCGACGACGACGACGAAGAAGAAGAAGAAAAAGAAGAAGAAGAAGAAGAGGGAATACAATATGAAGGAGAAGAATATGACGAAGAAAAAGAAAAGCGCAAAAAAAAAAAAAAAAGAATAAGAAAAACGGATGAACGAACTACTTCAATCAATCAATCAATCAATCAATCAATCAATCAATCAATCAACCAACCAATCAACCAACCAATCAATCAATCAATCAATCGATCAACCAATCAAACATTCAATGAATACGTGAACGGATCCGTCGTTTTCGACGGATCCTTGTTTCAAGATCCGTCGAAAACGACGGATCCGTTCACGTATTCATTGAATGTTTGATTGGTTGATCGATTGATTGATTGATTGATTGGTTGGTTGATTGGTTGGTTGATTGATTGATTGATTGATTGATTGATTGATTGATTGATTGATTGATTGATTGATTGATTGATTGATTGGTAGATTGATTGATTACGCTATGGCGGGTGTGAAGCCCGCGGGCTGGCGAAGTGGCGGGCGGGACGCAAGGGGGAACTTACGAGACTGGGGCAAAGGCGGGAGGGACACAGGCGGGCGAAACGGGTCGGCGGAGGGAGGGGGAGCTTGCGGGAGCCGTGGGGAGCGGGCGTACACGGGTCACGGGAGGATGGTTCCGACGTGGAGGACGATGAGTCGGAGATGGCGGAATAGGAGGTCGGCGCGATGGAGGACGAGGAGGAGGGGGAAGAGGAGGAGGAGGAAAAGGAGACGATGGACGAAGAGGAGGACGACGAGGAGTAGACGACGGAGGTGGAGTCGGAGGAGGAGTTGGAGGAGGAGGAGGACGAGGCGGTTAAGAAGAAGAAGAAGAAGAAGAAGAGGAGGAGGAGGAGGAGGAGCAAAAGGAGACGATGGAGAAGAAGATAAGGCGATGAAGAAGAAGAAGAAGAAGAGGGGTTGGAGGAGGAGGAGGAGGAGGAGGAGGAGGAGGAGGACCAGGCGATGAAGAAGAAGACGAAGAAGACGAAGAAGATGAAGAAGAAGAAGAAGAAGAAGAAGAAGAAGAAGAAGAGGAGGAGGAGGAGGAGGAGGAGGAGGAGGAGGAAAAGGAGACGATGGAGAAGAAGACAAGGCGACGACGACGAAGAAGAAGAAGAAGAAGAAGAAGAAGAAGAAGAAGTAGAATGAAGAAGTAGAATGAAGAAGAAGAAGAAGAAGAAGAAGAAGAAGAAGAAGAAGAGGACGACAAGGACGACGAGGAGAGACGATGGAGGGAGAGGAGGAGGAAGGGTGATGACGTCGAGACTTACCTGGAGATGGCGTCGACGATGGCGGGGCTGGGGTGCCGCGTCCTTGCGAGCGCACACACGTGCTCGTCGAAGCGTCGGTCGTGGTGTACAGCGACGGGGGGGGGGGCTGCCGGCGGGCGCGGGCGGGTGGTTCCCGCCCGAATTCGAATTTGAATTCAGGCCCGACCTGGGCCGTCGATCGGATCGATCGGACGGCCCAAGTCGGGCCTTTTGTGTTTCGATTTTTTTTGGCCCTGCTGGCCTCGGCCTGCGGGGACCGAGGTCCAGCAGGGCCCCTTAATACCCCGCGACACCCTCCAACCCCCCAGATCCCCCTAACACTAATGGCCACTATTTTCCGCTAAGGCCGGACCATTGTCGGACATCGGACCACCGGCCCGGTGGTCCGGTCGGACAACCCGGACCGTTCCCGGGGTCCCGGACGTCCGGACAGGTAACCTAGGTTTTTTTTTTTTTTTTTTAGTTTTCTGCGCTGTCCCAGAGGACTCCAAATCCGGTCTCATTTCGTTTTTTGCGAGTTGGCTGTCAAGGGTGGGGGAGGGGGGTATAAATTGATTTTAAAGTGCCTAAAGGGGTCTAAAGGGGGGTGCCTTTGTGTGATTCTGTTATTTTCTTTTTTATCTCCGATTCTGTGAGGAATTATAATGTGACCCTCAGCCAAAAGTCGTTTGTATTTCAATCCTACACAACATATGTTTTTCCCGGAATTTTTTGAGGTTTTTTTTTTTTTTTTGGCGCTGNAGGAGACGATGGAGAAGAAGACAAGGCGAAGAAGAAGAAGAAGAAGAAGAAGAAGAAGAAGAAGAAGAAGAAGAATAGAAGAAGAAGAGGAGGAGAAGAAGAAGAAGAAGAAGAAGAAGAAGAAGAAGAAGAAGAAGAAGAAGAAGAAGAAGAAGAAGAAGTAAAATGAAGAAGTAAAATGAAGAAGAAGAAGAAGAAGAAGAAGAAGAAGAAGAAGAAGAAGAAGAAGAAGAGGATGACGAGGACGACGAGGAGAGACGATGGAGGTAGAGGAGGAGGAAGGGTGACGACGTCGAGACTTACCTGGAAATGGCGTCGACGATGGCGGGGCTGGGGTGCCGCGTCCGCGCGAGCGCACACACGTGCTCGTCGACGCGTCGGTCGTGGTGTACAGCGACGGGGGGGGGGCCTGCCGGAGGGCGCGGGCGGGCGGTTCCGGCCCGAATTCGAATTCGAATTCAGGCCCGACCTGGGCCGTCGATCGGATCGATCGGATGGCCCAAGTCGGGCCTTTTGTGTTTCGATTTTTTTTGGCCCTGCTGACCTCGGCCTGCGGGGACCGAGGTCCAGCAGGGCCCCTTAATACCCTGCGACACCCTGCAACCCCCCAGATCCCCCTAACACTAATGGCCACTATTTTCCACTAAGGCCGGACCATTGTCGGACATCGGACCACCGGCCCGGTGGTCCGGTCGGACAACCCGGACCGTTCCCGGGGTCCCGGATGTCCGGACAGGTAACCTAGTTTTTTACCACATTGCTTACTTTAGTAGCTTTTATGATTTTTTGTACTTCATATCAAAGTTAATCAAGCCGAGGATGAAACTATGACTTTGTTCATGGGATATCTACTCTTGTTTTTTTTTTGCTATCTAATTCTTATACCAATTACTTTATGAAACGTAATAAGTCAATAATATGATAACACGTATCGACATTTATCTTAAATCACCAGAACTTATAACCAATGCGCCAAAAACTAAAGTGATGCTTGAAAAAATTGAAAAAAGTATGATTGTAGTGATCTGCGTACCACGGCGAATGTGTTTGCTCCCCTTCACGTTCACGCAAACGTGTTCGCGCGTTCGCGCGAACAGCTCGCGAATATGTTCGGGCGAACATATTTTTTTCCGTAAAAATAAAATAAAAAATAAAATGTTTTCGGTTTTTGATTTTTAACTCATGGTTGAATACGAATTTGAACATGACTCCAAGGCAAAAGTTGCTTGTATTGTTATTTTACATAACATATATTTGTTTCAGATTTTTTTGAGAACTTTTTTTTTTTTTTTTTTTAAATATTTTTTTGTGTCTGCGTTCGGAGGGTTTTGGGCCCTTGTTCGCGTTCGCCTCCGAACACGAACACGGTGCTACGTAGGTAGTGATTAATCTTTCTCTAGCTAGCGAGCCTACGACCTTTGTTTTTTTCCGAGTATATTAGATTGCTTTGACTTTGAGAGATTGATCATCAAAAGCTCTGTAAAACAAAAAGAGAATTCATAATGGCTTAAAGCCTTTTCCGGATATCTGCGATTCTCTTATATGGCATCAGATCAGACGTGAAGCGTCTGCTGAGAACAGTGCAAGGTTAGGAAATCAATATTCTAGCTACACGTGAGATTGATTCCGGACAATTAAGAATCGGAAGGTGCGAAGCGAAGCTGTTTGTCAGCTTCCCTTCCCGAGCCCATAAACAAGGCTGATGTTCTGGCGGGCGAGCTGCATGATGGGAAACTGTCACGTGTGGTTCTGAGGTGAAATGTGGTGGAAATTTCATAGGGACCCAAAATGGAAATAGCACCTTTGTCTAAATTTTTCAAAGAAACTTCATACCTAAAATGTAAAAATGATTAGCTATAAAATCATTAAAAAACTTATCAAATAACCATCGCTTGTTCAAAAACCAATAGCACATCGTGCCTAGTGTACTAGTTGGAATGTGTCACATTTCAGACTAGCTGGTGGAGAAGGAACTGAAGTGACGTGTCCCCAGGATAGGAATGAGTCAGGGCCATGAGGTCTACCGTCTTCACCCAAATAGAATACCCGGTCATTATAGTTGCATTTGTTGCAACGTTCGGTCTAGATAGAGTGATAAAAATGCTTATTCTATTCTCGAGATGGTTCTTGATACTTTTGGTAGTCTTGAGAATTCTTTAGGACTCTGGGGACTTCTTGCAAAGCAGTCTAGGCTTCCTTGATGCTGTTTTCTCATAGATCTGTTGTTTTTTCGATGCTAGAACGACGCTGGCCGGTGCTGGGGGATTGCCCTGTAACCTGCTAATAGCAGGAGCGTGAGGCCTGGTAGAGAGATCTGGGGATGCTTTGGGCCGGGCATCTCAAGGGAAAACCAAGGGTTGCTGTCGGGACGACGCTGGCCGGAGCTGGGGTGAGTCGTGTTGCCCTGTAACCCAACAGGGTGGGGGCATGAGGCCTGGGAGAGCTCGGCAGGGAAGAAGACAGTATTAGAGAATTTTAGAGTGTTTTTGTGGGGGCTTCCAGGGGTCTGAGTATTTGAGGGACTTCCACTAATTGCTGCTTGAGTAGCCTAGTAATAGGTTGGCAGGTTAGCAGCTATCCGGTGTTTTTCTAAATTTTCCTGAACCATAGTTCTCAGGCTGTTCTTGGCCGGAGCCAGGTAATGGCCTTGGCACTTTAAATCATTTGTATATTTCTATATGGGACGCTGGGCCCGGTTCCCAGCACGTGTTGCTCCCCATGAATAGACTGGAGCATTTGTCCCAAAAAAAAAAAAGAAAAAAGACCGGGCGTTCTATTCGGATGAAGACGGTAGCTAAGAGGGGGGAAAATAGAAAAGATATTCCAATCACTTTGACCATTTGCAAGAGATGGTCAATTTAAGCGTGGACTTGGACTGGAGGTGTGGGATATGTATTCCGATCTCAATGACCGCATGGAAGGGAAGATACTAAGACAGTCAAATTGGTGAGCGTGGACCTTTTATGCTAAAAAAGATGGTCAAATTGAACGTGGACTTAAACTTGAAGATACTAAAATAGTCCAATTGAGTGTGGACTTAAAATTGAAGATATTAAGATAGTCAAATTGGGTGTGGACTTAAACTGGAGATCTTTCTGTAAGATGTGGATGATAGACACAGAGAAGAAAAGATGGTCAAAACAAGTGAACATGACTTAGATGATG